AATTTTTTACCCTTAGTATCTTCTAATGGTCCCGCGTAATCTAATTGTAATTCTTGCCCTGGCTGCGATAGCAGTGGAAGCGGTTTTGATGTGTTTTTTGGTATAACATACTTAGCATTCTTACCGTAGCGAGTGCAACTGCGACACTCCTCCGCCATGTTCACAATATCTTTGTGCATATGAGGCCACCACAAGTATCTAGATACATCAAGCATTGCCTCCTGACCTGGGTGACCGCGGTGTATCCGTTTTAGCACAGCGGGGCGCAGTTGTCCTGGTACTGTCAATCTCCCGTCTACAACGATACAATCGTCCACCACTGACATCTGGTTCCACAACGAGTTCGTGTAGGGTCCCATTAACTCGAAACTGTGCCTATCCTTTCTCTCTATGACCCTTCTTAGTCGATCCATCCACGTATTTTCAGTGGTGAGTTCAGCTAGAAGATTTCTGTCGAGAAGTTTTGAAAGATTCAACAAATCTTCTCGATGTTCAGCTTGCCTGAACTCGTTTTGTCGGGTTTTCCTTACTTCTTTAGCAACGAAGCTCACTTCTGGACTCTCTGAGGTCGTATCTGCTGTGAGATCTACTTCAATGATGTTCTGGACATTTGTACTTGTAGTATTTCCGTGAGGGCTTTCCCATTCTAACGACGCCTCTAACTGTAGCATGTTTTCCGGTCTGATATTATCCTTTTCGTTCAGACCCCACTAGATCCCAGAAAGACCATAGCTTCTGTGGTTCCTCCTTTGATGATGTTTGAAGATATTTGTCCTTCCGTCTTGTTGGTGTTACTTTCTTCTATTCAACTTGCGGCATGTCCCAGTCTGATCCATCAGTCTCGTTTCCTGTTGTCCCCCTTTGAACGGTTCTTGTTCTATGGAAAGTTGTTTCCGTTATTTTTCCAGCTTTTGATTTCGTTTCCCTTCTGTGTTCTCGAGCTTGACTGTCTTTTTCAACTTTTTCTCCATCGGTTCTTCGTTAAGTTTCTCCTCATGTTTTGCTGCAATTTTCCTCTGTTTCTCTGGTGAATTCTGTTCCTCTTTTTTATCAGTTTCAACCAACTGTATATAATGAGAGATTTTGTTTAGAGTGTTTTGATCGCAATTGCAAAGTCGTGAGTTTTGACCGTTTTCGTTCCGGTCGAGCTCTGTTTGGTTTTGAACAAAACGATTGCTATAACAACCGGGGGATGACGTGGGCGATATTTCGTCCAACGTGCTTCTCCGATCAGAAGGTTCTAGAATGTTTTCGTTACTAATGAAAGTATTTGTATCAACCAGCCGACTGATCAAAGAGTCGAGAGCTGCATGAAATTGATCAATCGATGCTACCAAAAACTTTTTGTCTAATTCTGACTCCGGCCACGGTTCCCCAATAGGGTCTCGGGACAAATAATCCACGATACCCACATCTTTCCCTGGTATATGAACCACATTGAATTGATAGGGTAACAACCGATCTACCCATCTTGTAAGCCTAGATTGGTAGGTTTTATTAGATTTATTTTCCCCCAACGCTTATGTGAGTGCTTTATGGTCTGTTGCTATTATGAATTCTTTCCCCAGCAAATAATGTTTACATCTATCCACGACCAAACCACTGCCAGCAGTTCGAGTTCGTTTGTTGAATACTTTTTTTCTTAACCTTTAAGATAACGTGATGCAAATGCAATTGGAATCCAATCGTCCCCATCAGTCGATTGTTCTAACGTTGCCCCAAGGCCGCTATGACTCGCATCGCATTTTACCCTAGACTCTTTGAGAGGATCGTAATAACTGATTTGAGCGATACTTGCCACCGCTTTCTTTATTTCCTCAAATATGAGAGAATGCTTCTCCCCATTCGAATTTTTTAACCGGTAGTTTGATATTTTTCAATTTCTTTTTTCGTTTTTTTCTCTGAGTAATGGTTTTAGTTGATCCGTTAAAGTTGCTGCGTTAAGGATGAACTTCGATAAATGATTTATACTACTCATAAACGATCTTAATTATTTCAGCGATTTCGGGTGTTGTAGATTAAGAGTTGCTTCCGTTTTCGTAACTTTTGGTGTTATACCACTCGGTGTAAGTTTATGACCCAACCAATTAACTTCTGTCTGAAAAAACTCACATTTTATTAAATTAAGCGCTAGATTTTCATCATCCAGTTTCTTCAGTACATCTAGTACTAACCTCTCGTGTTCTGCTTTTTCTCCTTTTGAGACAATTAGTATGTCATCCAAAAAACAAAATGGGTTTTTCACATGGTTCAATGTACGGTCCATCGCCTTTTGAAATTATGCGGGCATGTCTGCCAGCCCGTAAAACCCTGTTAAAAATCTGTTCGTTCCCGTAGCTTGACCATCGACTTTGTTGAAATTGCACTGTTTAGCTGTTTCAGCAGTTAAACGAAGTTGACTGTACGCATACTTTAAATCATGTACCGTAAAATATAGCGTACCTTGTGTTTTGGCCGTTACTATTTGACTAACCCCATCAATTAGTTCATCAGCATTGGGCATTTGGTATTTATTTCTGTACAGTTGTCTATTTATTGGCTTTGCGTCTAAGGCCAATTTGATCGAATCGTCTTGTTTCACTGTTATTACAATTGAAGCAATGAAACAATCACTTGTGCATTTATCTAACTTTGTTATATGACCTTCTGATAACAATTTATCAAGTTCTTTTTGCACTTTTCCTCGAATGTGAATAGGTATTCTTCTACCTTTTTCCTGTATCGGACACAACGGGTATTTGAATTTCGTGTTGACTACATGATGTTTTGACTCTCCCTGTCGATCGAAAAGGGGTGAAATTTTTTTATTAAAGTATTGTTTCATACCTTCTGACTGCTCGCACAGTAGCACGTCAAACCTTGATCTATTGACAGGGGCTGACTTCTGAGATGTTCTATGACTTCTATCCCCAATTTTCCCTGTAAGTCCAGACCCAGTAAACATCGAGCACTTTTTTCTGTACCTAGGAAGTATGCATCCTTAAATTCCCAACCAGCCGAACGAATATCTGCACATACTGCTCCCAGTATCTGAATAGGATGTTTGTTGTAATCGACAAACTGCATTGTCAATTTCAATTTTCCAGCTGGAATGAAATTAATTTCAGATGAACCGTCCAAAAATTGTTTTGCGGTCGTCCAATTTAGGAATGATACTGGGCTTCCTGTATCAATCGTCATGTTGATAATTTGAATCTTAATTCTAACCAACGCCTTCAACGCTTTTATTTTAAGCGATCTTGGATCTCGCCGTATGTCGAATTTCGTGATATCGTGAGTAGTTGTTTCCCTTCCAATCTTCTTTTTGGGTTGCTTGCCTTTCGCCTCCTTTTCATTCGATTCCTTCAATGTTGTATTTATCATCATTATCTCGAACTCATCGCATGAATCGAAACTTTGGATTAGATTGCATTCACTTCTCAACTCGATTTCTCTTCTCCAATCTCATTTACCTGATTGGATCTACACATTTTTGCGAAATGATTCGGTTTACTGCAGTTCTTGCAGTTTTTTTCTATTGCTGGACAATTTTTTAGGTGACGTGGACCGAAGAAATTTCCTCATCGGGTGCAGGACGTCTGATCTGATCTCGAATTTGCACTTTTATTCTCAGTCCATCTCTTTTGAGTTTTTTTTTAATTCTGTCTTTTGTAATTTGATTTTCTATTCCCAACTGCCATTATCGGTTCCTGTTTTATTTTGATCTGAGAATCCCGCAGTTGTCCCACTCCGGAGCTTCCGCTCCTAGATTTTTGAAACGCTTGTGTAGTCTGCCTACTCTGCTCGAACTTAATAGCCCGTTTAAGAACTTCATCTGGTTGAAAGTTTCAAACGTCAGCGTGTCTTGTAATGCTTTATTCTTCGTTCTAGATATGAAGAGATCTCGAACCAACTCTTCTTCTAGACCACCCAGTTCTGCCGTAGCTGCTTGTGCAGTAAGTGCCGCGTGGAATGATTCCAACGTCTCACCGGGTTCTTGAGCTCGAGTGAATAGTTTGTATCGCTCGTAAGTATGTTCAGTGTTTTCTCGAATGATGCCTTTGCCATTGCCACCATTTCTCTAAATTCGAGCTTTGACACTTCAGTATGTAGGTTCTTTTGCACGAATTTCTTTTTCCCCTCCGTACCTAGTGCCAGGAATAGACGAGACGTAAGTCTTTTCTGAACCTCATTGTAGAACACATTATGTCCTACTTTAGGTCCACGTTCTCTTCTTTTTTGATTCTCTAGTATTACTTTGTCTCTCCTAAGCCTATCTCTCAGTTCCCGATCCGTTACTGCTTGAGCAGTTTTTGTTTCTCCCGGTGTTTCTGGGCGGGGCATTGGTTCATCCACCACTTCCTTAGGTTCTTCTTATATGATTTCCGGATTCACATTTTCTTTCACAGTCACGGCTAACATAAATTGATCCAACCAAATTTTGAAATTCCACGGTGGATCCGAACTAGCCGATGTCCAGAATACTGGAATACCCATGTCAGTGTGATTGTCCTGTGCCATGAATCTTGCTGGCTGCGCCATTTAATAAGGAAAGGGAATGAACAACTCATATTCAAAACAATACTGACTCAAACAATTAATTTAATATTCGACTTTAATTTTTCTCTTTTTGGTTCCATGAACCAGCTCAAAATAACGTATCGTTTGTACGCTGAGCTTAAGATAAATAATATGAAGCCAAACGATGGTCTACATCCAATGACCTTGATAATATGTTAATAACGATATAACTGCATAATTATACATAACAATATAGGTCCCAAGGTCAGTGATCAAAGAGAACAACAATTACTACTGCACTTGCAGTAAGTGCCGTACCACAAAGACCTTATTTTTTCAAAAATTTTTGAAAAAACAGGCTAAAATTAACTTTTAGAAAATATGGATCTCGTAAAATTATACCAGAGGCTGAACCCTGTGGAAATTCAGCTAGAAGAATTGAAAGGGGAAGGCGGCAGCTTTTTTCAATTCAATTTTTTGAACCTTTTTGGTTTGTTAAGACATGCGCAACGAGGCCGTGACCACTTCGATCTGGCCCACCCAAGAGTGGTATGACGAGTACATGCAGTGGAACCCGGAGGACTTCGGAGGCATCACCAACACTGGAGTGTCCCCGGACAGGATCTGGAAGCCAGAGATAGTGCTCTACAACAATGTGGATGGAAGATTCGAGGTCGAGTTCCAGAGCAGGGTTAGTATCAGTTAAATAAGAGAAACACCATAACAAAGTACTTTCAAACAAGACTTTCAAACAAGACAAACAACTTTCAATTGTTAAGCTTTATTTGTAACGGAACGTTTTTTATACTGATTATAAATGTAAGCAGTGCTCTAAGGTTTAAACGTGCTTCAGAGAACTATCCAAAATCTGATTCGGAGAGTAATAAAAAACAGAAGCTAGCTTGAAAAAATGTCCTAAGGCAGTAGCAGATTTGCGGGGAGGGGGAGCGCTCTCTTCGTTAGGGCTTCAACCCCCTGGCCGCCCAAAGGGTCGCCCTTTTGGTTGTATTTTACGACATTCACTTTTAGCTGACCGACCCTTAAGTTTTTCTAAAATGTCTTAGACGCCAATGTATACTTATTTTGAGGAGAGGGGACGCGCATTGAAAGAAGTCAGTCAATTTTTTTTGCGAGTGCTCGGAAAATCAATAATTTTGACTATCTAAAAAATCTGCCCTCTGGAGAAATCAAAGATGCGCGTTTGCCTAATGGGTTTACTTTTTCAGGCCTTTAATTTGTCGAAAAATTTGTTGAAAAATATATAGCTTGGATGAGTTTGATTATTTTTTGCGTTTTCTTCAGTTTTGGCCAACAAGTGAAAATTTTTACATCCGCCATCTAAAAAAATTTTAGATCAGTCCATATGGTTTCTGTAGGTGCAAATCGGCTACAGGGGCAACTGTCTGTGGGCGCCCCCCACCATCTTCAAGACCCACTGCAAGATCAATGCACAACACTTCCCATACGACGAACAGTTCTGCCCACTCAGTTAGTTATTGCCACCGCCACTTATAACCCTAGTTGATCAAGGAAGGTTATATTGCAAGGTTGCATCTCTTTAAAAGATCTTGCAAGATTCTTACAAGATCCTGCAAGACAAGCTCCTTTAAAGATAACCTTAATTCTAGCAAGATCTTTAATTAGATGATTTTTTTGTGAAAAAAACTTTGCACAAGAAGACAAGTATTTTTTTTTTTATCAGTAGACACTTTATCTGGTATCCAGTAGAAACATTTAAATGCTTGAACAAATCAACATTAAAAAGAAAAATCAAAATAAATATTTAAAATTTGCTTAACTTATTTTTTTCCAGCTTAAACTTTTTTTCCAGCTTGAATTCTTTGTGACCATAGTCAAATTGAATCTCCATAGTTTTTTCTGGCATTCAGAATATAGTTTTGAGAAAAATTTCATAGTTGATTATCTTGCAAGATCTAGTAAGAATCTTGCAAGATAACCTCACTCTTGCAAGATTTGCAAGATAACCCTCATTTGCAAGAATATTGCATGATCTTGCAAGATAACCCTCCGAGATCCAGTAGGAATGATTGGGACCACCTGGTTTTAAAAACCAGGTATTTGGAGCCCACCTACAGATAAATTTCAGCAGAGATGTAGCTGTACGACTGGCTAATAAGACCGCTGAACATTGTAGGAGCAACAAATTTTGAAACGTATAAAGATCTTTATCTTGAATTGCTATTTATGCTTCAGGAATGAATCTTGGGATCTTTTTTTCTAGAAAATTAAAGAATGGTTGATTAATAATTCACAATAACTAAAATTAACTGCTAATTTAAACAGCGATTTGTTATGTAACTAAAAATTTGAGAATTTGACGGCTTAGTTGTATCTATTATTTTGTATCTGTTCTTCCCAATTTAGCGTTCCTGAGTTTCGACTACGACTACACGCAGGTGGAGATAGTTTCCAAGTTCAGCGAGGGAGACTACACGGGCGACCAGTACTGGCACTCCTCCGAGTGGAGCATAGTGAGCACATTCCTCATTTTAACCTAATATCTAAATTTCCTTTTTGGGTCAATCAGCTCCTTTGATTTTTTGAGCTCTGCCACCCGTACTGAGGTACTCGACTTATGCTTTGTCTCTCAAAGTCGTGAAGTTCAATTTTATGATTGAAAGTCCGCTGTCGAGTAGCTATAATAAGCCAAGTATTTAGACACAACATACTCGACTCTGGCCGAAAAAGTTTATATATAGAAAAAGAATAGCCGGTTACTGTGCAAGTAGCACAGAATGTTCGGACCACAGTCTTAAGAAAATACAGAAATGTTTTCACAAGTTGGTGTCGTTTTTTTCTGCATATTGTGTAAAAAGATCTGAACGAAAAGTGAAAACCTAGGCATATTTGAGAGTTATAGTAAAAGAGGTCAATTTGAAAAAAATATATAATTTTGTTTTTTAAAATTGCAATAAAAACTATTTGCATTACTTTGCTCTTACTTTTAACTAAGTTTTCGCGGCCTAAATTAAGCTTAAATAAGCTATTGCAATGACTAACTACTTCATTAATTAGCTCAAAATTAGACCGAAAATCAAAAAATTTCAAACCAATTTTTCTCGACACCGTGAAAAATTTCAGTTTTTTATAGTGTTGTTCGAATCACGACTAAAAGGCGTTTATTATGATATATCATTTAACCTTCTCCAAAATTATTTTTGGAAGCTGAGTCTGCGTGAAAAACTAAAGTTTGCATGAGAAAGAAGAAAACTAAAACACACCCGAATACAAAGTTCCTCTCACTTTCCATTGGTCTGAACAAACAACATGCAAAGTTTTGGCCGAGAAAATTGAAATGGCAGTCGGCAAGGCCAAAGCATAAACCGAGCACTTCCAAAAAGTAGGCTAAGCGTTGTATCATTTTTTGGAAACTTCAATTAATTTTTACATTTAAAAAGGAGCAGGAAAACTAAAATTTCCTATCTTTCATCAATTGTCCAAAGCAAAAGCGGCCGCAAAAATATGGGACTCTTCAAAAGTCTTCGCGGTTAAAGAATTTTAGTGGAACGGAAATTTATTCTCAATTACCTTTTTTAAAATCAACGCTACTAACGCTTTTTAAAAATCATCAATTGCGAAATCGGAAGGTTCATTTTGGAAAAATTAGTTTTTGCTGCCAGAATTTTGCAGGTTTCTTTGCATTTCTTCTCTTTGCTGCCAAAATTTCGCAGATGTTTTTGCATTTTTTCTGTCAACCTCAGTCAAGCACTTTCAGAACATAAGTCAAGCACGTTTCAAACATAGTTCAAGCACAGTCAAAGTAATGATCGAGCACGGTTCGAGCACAGTTGAAAGTCAATACACATAAAAAACCGGAATTGAAAGCCGCGGACGCGGCGAACCTTTTTTGATTTCTAAATAGGTCTGAAATTGAAAATGTTCAAAACAATTTTTATTTTGAACTGAGAAAAAGTTTTGATTTTCCCTGGAAATGAATTTGTAACCAATATGACTTTGATAGTATTATAAAATCTCACCTCTCAAATCAATAACACTCAAATATCCTTGATATTTGTTTTAGGTTTGCAAAACCGGGCGGAAAAATACCCTGATTTTTGGCCAATGTCGCAGCAATTACAAAAATCAGAATTCTTTCAAACATCAAAACAGTTTTGACGTGTAATGACTTTTCAAGAAGAAAGCTCAATGACTTTTCAACAAGAAATTTTTTTTTTCATGAAGAAAATGCCGAATAATTTTTGGGAGCAAATCATTTTTCACATTGATACGAGAACTTGACAAAAAACAAAAAGAAAAGTTTTTGATCACAGTTAGCAGCAGAAATTATATATTTATAAAATACAAAAAACAGAATTTATTAAATTGATTTTAGTCGAGGAGTCCTAAAATCAATTTAATAAACGAATTGCAAATGGCTTCATAGTTGATTATTATTAAAATTAACGTCAGTAGCTAGCTCTAGCTTGAAACAAATCAAAATGCTCTGTTTTTTGCCTAGCTGAGATCGGAGCAACATGGTAGTCCAGAAAACATTGAAAACTCGAGACATGTCTAATTTTGCTGGTCTGTAGAATAATTTATTGGTTACAGTTGAAACGGGCATAACTTTCCTCATTCCAGAAAATCAAGACAGTTGAAATCTGCCTAATTTTGGCCGATCTGTTCAAATCATATGATCTGGGCACGAGCTTGGGAACGAGAAGGTGCACGTTTTTTTTTGTCGAGCAATTCCATACAGTCAGGTTGAGATATACCTTTTTATAAAAGAGACACTCGAAACATATTTAATTTGGGATTGACCAGAAACGAAACATAGTTGGAGTGCCTCTTCCTTGAAATATTCATTTGCCAAGCCTTTTGTGCACAGCAAACAGTATACCAGGAACGGAAACGTCGGGCTTCTTTTGGAAATATAATGAAAAATCTAATTAGTTTTTAGCGTGCCCTTTTTCCTCAAAAATGTTTACTGGGACTAGAAAAAATTACACGTTAAGGCTCAGAGGAAAAAGCTCAAAACCAATTATTATACTGCAAAAAAGTCAGGTAATGATTCAAAAACTTAGAAATATAAAAACGTTCGAGTTATAAATTGTACCCTTCTATGGCTAAAATCAAGCCATGCAATTATTCGATAATTTATATAGATATAAATTGTTGCAGTTTTTCCAGTGATTTTTTTCTTGTCTTGACTTAGATGAGTGCGAGGACTGAGACGTACTTGACCTCCTGTGCGAGTTGTCTGACCAACAACCACTCTGCAGTGACTGTGATGCTCCATCTGAAGAGGAAGCCACTCTTCTACTCGGTCAACCTAGTACTCCCCATTCTCATGGGTCAGTTAACATGTTATACAAAGCACCGCTCTTCATTCTGCTATAAACATATTATTATAATAAGCAGGGGCGGAATTAGGGGGGGGGGGCGAGGGGGGTTAGGTTTTTTCTCAGGGATTGGACCCCCTGCCGACCCAAAGGGTCCCCCTTGAACTTTTTTGAGATATCCATTTTTGGCTGACAGAACCTAAATTTTTTTCTAAAGGTGCCTTCGGCGCCGATATGTACTAATTTTAAGGGGGGAACGCGCGCCGAAAAAACGCGATTTTTTGGTCAACATTTTTCAAAAAAATGCCTAAAAACGCCTTTTTGGCTTGTTTTTTTTCGAAATTTTGCCTGCGGCACAGAAATTTTTGCCAAAACGGACTTTTTAGTGCTTTGGGAGAGCTCGAAAAATCAATTTGGCCGACCTAAAAAAAAGGTCCCATAAAATTTCGAAATTTTTATGAAAATCCGCTCCCCCCTCGAGAAAAACTTAGATCCGCCCCTGATTATAATCTAGGCTTCGACTCCTTTTTGCCGAGGTTTTATGCTTTTCTTCCTATTAGATATATTCAGAAAAAACTCAATTTTTCATTCTGCTAGAAAGTTTTTACCATAAGTTAGGCTTCGACCCTTTGAAGCGGGGCTTGGTTTTCTTCATTTTCGATCACTTTCTCTATATAGTATTACGAATCAATTTTAGACTTAATTGATTCATATTGATTTGGATACAACTCATAGTTTTTTGTTCAAATTTGGCTTAGCTGATTTTGGGTTCTACAATAATCTGGTATCGGGGCAACTTGCTTGATAAAAAAATGTTGACGTCTGCTGATTGAAGAAAACAATTAAGCGAGGCACAATTTTTTATACAGTCGCACCTTCATTACAGTTCAACTACATTTAAATTAGTCTCTATAGTTAGACCTTTCATGCCATAATAAAAATTCTGTTACCCGCAACTCAAGGTTTTTGATCAGAGATTGTTTTTGTAATTCAACGGATTTCTGACAACGGAGATTAAAGATCTGAAATCATTTTTTACTTTCCACTTCAGCTTGCATAAAAGTCAATTTCAGGTGGACATGACTATACTGGAATGAGGAGTTTTTAATGTAATTGCATCTAAATTAAGTAAAGGAAGACACGTTTAATTACTTTTGAAACATGAAACGAACGACAAAACTATTGAACACCTTGATTTATCAAGACGAATCAAGATTAAAGGTGTTTGACTCGAAATTGGAGTTTTTATGGGTTCAGACAGAGAAGTTTTTCTTTTTGTTTCCAGTTAATAACAACGGGTGCACCCAGTAGCGTGCCGAGGGTAGATGGCAATATCTTCCCCTCAATGTTGATTGCCAAATTTTTCCAAAAGATCCCCTCTTTATTAAAATGTTTCCACACCTATTTCTGCTTGACTACCCCAAAATTTTTCCAAAGCTTACTTACAATGCACTAAATAATTTTGTGCATACTTACAATGCACTAAATTAGATGGGCCAGCATGGGCGAAAAAGTGCAATTTTTTTGTAAGCTTACTTACAATGCACTAAATTAGATGGGCCAGCATGGGCGAAAAAGTGCAATTTTAGCTCATAACAGGCGACCGTTCATAACCGGAGTCAATTCGTAATAGGCGACAATTCGCTCGTAACAGGGGACATACATTTCGCAGCAGGCAAAAATTCGTAACACGCGACAAATCCTAACAAAACTGCTCGTATCAGGGCGAAGCCCTGAAGGTTCCGAATGCTTTTTAAGGTTTATGGAGCAGAAATAACATTAAAAAATTAAATGTAAGGAAACAAAATTAAAGTTTTTTTTCTAAAACTTGAATTTTTTAAGGAAAATCATCCCCCCACAGGCCACATTAAGTACAAAAGGATAGCTTTCGCTCCTTGTAACAAACCAATTATGGCAAATAAGCTTCTTTCAACCAATTTGGATTAATTGCTAATAGGATGACATACATTGCGCCTTTATTATCCCAAACAGGCCGATTGAGCAGTTTTCAAAGCCGATAAATTTGCAGATGCAAAATATCTTTTTACATTTGAGCTTACAGGGCGGGTTTTTTTTTCTTCAGACAAATTTTGACTTTTTAACTGGCCATTTTTGACAAATTTGTTTTATCTTTCAAAAAGTATTGATGTCCTGAGCAAAAAATATTTCACCTGTGATCATTTTTCATAAAATTATGAGGGTTTAAAGATTGCCATTTTGGCTAATTTGGGCAATTAACGCGCGATTTATTTCGCGCTATTAACGCGTAAGCGGTGATAAAATTCGTCATAAAAATCGTTCCAAATTGGTTGAAAGAAGCTTATTGGCCATAAGTGGTTAATTACAATGAGCGAAATCTATTCTTTTGTACTTTATATGGCGTGTGGGGGGATGCTTTCATAAAAAAAAAATTCAAATTCAGAATTTTTTTTCAGATTTTATTTCATTACACTTATTTTTTGAATGTTACTACTGCTCCATAAACCTTAAAAGGCAATCAGAACTTTCAGGGGATCGGACTTACACATGACATTCGGACTTATGAGGAGTAAAATATAATTTCAACTAAAAAATGTCAGCAAATTGTTTTTTTTCTTAATTAAAAAGATTACAGATCAATCGAGCAATCTCCCCTCAGGGGCAGGGGGATAACTCAATGGGTATTTGAAGCAAAATTATAACCATTTGAAAATAGTTTCAATGCCATGATACCATGGACCAGGTTCCCCAACGAAAGTGGAACAACAAAAATCAATATGCAAACTCAAAAAAAATACTTTGAGAGTGAATCGAAATCACTAAAAAAATGCTGAAGCCTACTTTATCTAGGAGCCGTGGAGAACACAATTTTTTTGATATTATATCTTTTCAAAAAGTTTTTTTGGCACTCATTTTAAAAACTTCAGTCGGTCATTACGAGAGGAGGGGGGATTGCTCAACTGATCCAGGTTCATTTCTTAACAACCTAATGAATTTTTGACCGTCTTCCCGCCCTCCTTAAGAATGCCGTGGCTTGTAATCAAAGTTAAAACTGCAACAAGTCTAGCCGATTAGTTTTAAAGTAGCACAGAATCTTCTACTATGATAAAATTATGAGGGTTTAAAGATTGCCGTTTTGGCCAACTTGGGCAATTAACGCGCGATTTATTTCGCGCTATTAACGCGTAAGCGGTGATAAAATTCGTCATAGAAATCGTTCCAAATTGGTTGAAAGAAGCTTATTGGCCATAAGTGATTAATTACAATGAGCGAAATCTATTCTTTTGTACTTTATATGGCGTGTGGGGGGATGCTTTCATAAAAAAAATTCAAATTCAGAATTTTTTTTCAAATTTTATTTCATTACACTTATTTTTGGAATGTTACTACTGCTCCATAAACCTTAAAAGGCAATCAGAACGTTCAGGGGATCGCCCTGATACGAGCAGTCTTGCTCGTTAAGTTTTTGAGATTTTTGTGTGTTTCATTTTTAACTTAAATACTCACATGACATTCGGACTTATGAGGAGTAAAATATAATTTCATCTAAAAAATGTCAGCAAATTGTTTTTTTTCTTAATTAAAAAGATTTACAGATCAATCAAGCAATCTCCCCTCAGGGGCAGGGGGATAACTCAATAGGTATTTGAAGCAAAATTAAAACCATTTGAAAATAGTTTCAATGCCATGATACCATGAACCAGGTTCCCCAACGAAAGTGGAACAACAAAAATCAATATGCAAACTCAAAAAAATACTTTGAGAGTGAATCGAAATCACTAAAAAATGCTGAAGCCGACTTTATCTAGGAGTCGTGGAGAACACAATTTTTTTGATATTATATCTTTTCAAAAAGTTTTTTTGGCACTCATTTTAAAAACTTCAGTCGGTCATTACGAGAGGAGGGGGGATTGCTCAACTGATCCAGGTTCGTTAAGATCCTCCTTAAGAATGCCGTGGCTTGTAATCAAAGTTAAAACTGCAACAAGTCTAGCCGATTACTTTTAAAGTAGCACAGAATGTTCCGACCAAAGTGATATAAGAAAATTTAAAAAGATAAATATTTTTTTTTTGAATCCAAAAAAATTGAATTGTTGACTAAATTTCCTGTTATTTTGTTTCCTAGAAAAGGCCATTCAATTAGGACAAATTGCAAAAAATATTCGTAAGTCTAGTTTAACTGTCCTTTCAATCGGGATTGTTTGACGACTTCATGCTGCGTTTCAGTTTCTATTCTCACTGTCATGAGTTTCTACCTTCCAAGTGAATGCTGCGAAAAGATCACTCTGACAGTGACTGTTCTTCTCTCAGTGACCATGCTGCTTCTGATAGTGTCCAAGATGGTGCCCAAGACATCTTATCACGTACCCCTCCTCAACATGTACCTAATCTTCATCCTCCTTCTCGTCTCCTTCTCCTTGATTGGAAAGACTCTTTTCCACATCCAAATCTCTGACTTTTGACAAAATTTAGTTGAATAATTTTGAGTTTGCCGTATTGGTAAAACAAATGAAGGCTGAAATTTTATGTCGTTGATTTAGGGTGCTGTTAGTGTTTCGCCAAAATTTATTGCATTTTTGTTACGACCAGCTTTCTGGGCGGCGGAGGGGCCGAATTTTGATTCCGGTACTTTTTTCGAAAAAAGAAAACAATATCAAATGTTATTCAAAAAACAAATACATTACGGCTGAAGTGAAAGATAGCTAAGCCATAAAAAACTACAAAAACTGAATACTTTTTTTGTCTATATAAACTAGTTTCATAACGAAAATTGTGAGTTGATTGTTTTGCACTGTTTTCACTGCAACAACAGAAGACTGTTTATATTTGCTGTCTGACAAGAAAATGAGAAAGTGGAAAAGTCTCTTAAACAGGAAACGTGTGTGTGCTCAATGTGCACTTCCGGTCCAGCAACAGCCACCACAGCATACAGGCATGTCCCAGGAAGTTCATCCTCAACGTCCTCCCCAAGTTCCTCTTCATGGACCGCTTCTCAAACAAGTGTCTGCAGAACTTGAACTTGAAGAGCAGACAAGATGAACTAGCGCTTCCCAAGTCGAAAAACTACGGGTTAGTTGTTGAACGACTTCTAGACTATTCTAAAATTTTGAATTAATTTCCTATTTTGATTTTGAATTAATTTCCTCTGATTGATTCTTGTTTATTTTTAGGCAATCATTTACTGTCTGTCAAAGTTTTTTCTAGCAAAACAAATACCTGACTTTGATTGTGAATTAATTGCCTAAGAATATCTAAAATTGAAAAGACCTCGACAATTATAAGTAAAATTCAGAAGGAATGATCATTCGAAAATTCAAATGGTTCAAATGCACAACTAGTTGGTGGCACATTCAGTTCAACTGGGTTCATACACACACTCCTTTCGGAAAAAATTCCCCGCCTCTATCACTGGGGATCAAATGGTTTATTTGACGGAAGACCAATAAAAAATCTATCTCACGCAAAATACAATTCTTCAGTATTATTCAGTATAGCTTGAAGACCAGTAGATTGAAAACAAATCAGTGCCTGATTTGACACAGGTACTCAAATAACATTGCGATTGCGAAGCGACTCCACGGGTGGCACCTGTCCCGCAACTCCATGGACGACATCAACTCCTCCCACAACAGCAACTGCAGTCGCATATCCTCCGGCCCCTTCCCCCTCCCCCTTCCCCTCCCCATTGCAGCAACTCCCTCCCCCTCCCACCGACCCCTCCTGATGGACAGCATAGCGGAGGAACAGGGAGGTGCAGGGGCAGGGGCAGGGGAAGGGGGAGGAGGGGAGGTGGTGGGGTTGGATGGGGATAGTGGGATGGCTTTGAATGAGTGTGTAGAATACATCAGGCAGAATTTGCAGGATGCAACTGCTGAACGAATGGTAAGAAAATGGTTGATTGTTAGAGATATATTCACTCAACTGTTCGCATGCAGAATTTAATTTTTTTTCTCGATTTATTGACTGAATCGATTGAAGTGGATATCAAGAATTAAGCAATTGGTTAAATTCCTGACATCCTGACATTGATTTCTTATCAGGTGCTCGATGGAGCAAATTGTTGGGCGAAAAAAAAACAACCAATTGATTAAAACTTTTAAACAGCCGCTCATAAGTCAATCAGCCGATTATTTTTAGAAGGAGCTTCTAGAATCAATTTTACGCTTGCAATTAGCAAGCGTTATCAAATCGGAATTTAGACTTTTTTCTACGTAACATTTAGTTTAACAAAATCAGTTGAATCAATTATATTGACTTGCTCAATTTTTTGAAGATTCAAATTTAACTACCGGGTACTACTCAAAATTTTTTTAGTACTACTACGTATAATTATTGAGTTCTGCTGCTGACTTTCTGCTTGATGATTTTTCGGCTTCATGAATGTCGACTTAAGCTCTGTCGGTATAGTTTCCAAATTATCTAGTTCCTGTTTGATAAAAACGGGTGTTATGAAAATGTATGGATTCGGGTTTCTAAAATTTTTTTGGAGAGTCCTCCTTTTCCGCTGTATGACTGTATAAATCCCCTAGTCTCTTTTTACCTTTACTTTAACTGCTACAGACTTCCAAAACATGTGTGGGGCGTTTTCAATATTTGACCCATAAATATCTTTTTCAATTTC